TATCGAGAAGGTAGGAACCCGTGTGAAATATCGATTATACAATGGTGTTATTATCACTCGGCCAAACGAAGTGCATCGAGAGAAACCAGGACGAGAGACAACATATAAAATTTTGTGTCGCGAAACGAGGTGAATGCAACGTAAAAAAAGGAATACTTCAATGGGTTTTGAGGTAACCCATTTAAAAACGAGAAGACATTAATTTCACGTTAGAAAATATCGGTCACAGTAAGTCTTACAAGTTTACTTTGAAAAATTACAAAATCTCATTAAAATATATGATTATTCAGGGAATTTCTAAACCGCGAAATAATTTTTTAGGCAAGATAAAAAGCCACTTGATTCTTTCGTGCGGTTTTATGTTAGCAAAAGAAAAATCAATATACGAAATATACTGTATAACAAATACCACAGTAAATAATATATCAAGTAATATACTTATATGATCGATAAGTTAAATTTAGATTCAATTATAAATTTTAATTTTACAACTCTGTAGTTTCAATTTTCTTGTTTTTGCGTTTGGCACAATCGCGTCAAACAGATGACAGATTGGAGCCATGCTCGGCACTGTAAAATCATGCATGTAGATTGTGTACGCACATCGAACACGTGCCCATTAAAAGCCGGTAAAAGCCGGAAAGAGAGGGTAGAGGCCGGCAAAAGCAGGACGGGAAACCGTGGCTGGATATTGATTCGCCGTGGCGTCCAGAGAAGCAAAGAGAGTGATCAGTCGTGAAAGTCGATGAACCGTGTAGGCCTAACGGCGGCATGCTTTTTACGGTCGGAACTTTCATAACTTGTCGTGTTACATATAGTATATTCGGAAAATGTTTCGCCTATATGCTGAAGAAACGCTACGCCCGTGGCAAGCAGCGGAAAAGTTGAACGGATCATTCAGAAAGAGAGTTTTAGACACTTCCATCGAATTTGATTCGCAAATCTTGCCGTATATATATTTCCTTCACTTTATTTCATATAAACTTCGGTTTCTCATTACTCCACATTTCGTCAATGTGCGAAGAAATTAAAGTTCCCTCTCAGTTTATATTTTTTCAATCTATCTCCAAACTTTCTATACCTTAATAATCATTTTTTCTTCCACAACTGTAAAATGAAAATAACTTGCGTAAAATACTGTCTCGAATGCTGCCTCGGCTTCAAATTTACGACGATGGTGGATGTGCCTCGCGACGCTCTGTAGCAACGATTATATGAATATTCCGCAGAAAGTTTCGCACGCCGCACCACTTTTATACTCCATCGTTCCTTCGCGACTCTCCTCTCTTACGCGAGAAGATATACCGCCGTGTACATACTTTCAGGGAATCAATATAATAAGCGCGATACACCATCCCGAGTATTGACAGTTTCGCCGCAGCGTGTAACGATAAATCGCGGTATCGAAGTACCTCGGAAACTCGAGGAATAAACGAGGTAGATCGGTAAGCGGGGGAAGGGGGAGGGGGGGTTTCCTCCGAGAAAATTGCGGCGGAAGCTGGGATGCCCTCCGACAATGGCGGCGTGCAGAGAAGAAAAGAGAAGGACGATATTTGGGAAAAAGGTCAGCAATTTACGGGCATCCATCGTCGTCGAGGGTCGCGACAGTGAGGGATACTGCTGCACGGTATCCCGACCGTGGGGGTCGTTCCTACACGTATCGCAGCTATGCGGAATTCTGGTCTCCAGTGGCTCCTTCGCCCCCTCGCGCTTCTCTATCCCTGATGCCCGATTCTTCTTCTTCTTCTTCCCGATTCTAGCTCCCATTTTGACAACGATGAAATTCATCGCGATCGTTCGCCAGGAAATATCAAGAAGCTCTCTCTCTCTCTCTCTCTCTCTCTCTCTCTCTCTCTCTCTCTCTCTCTCTCTCTCATCCCTCTCTCTCTCTCGCTCTCTCCCCCTCCCCTCTGTCTCTCCCCAACCGCTCCTTAATCTCGTTCGTGCAAAACGCGTCTCCATTTCCGCGGGATGAATGGAGATTCTTGGACCGGGAGTAGATTCTTGGAAGGGGAGACGATAAAACAATTCCCGGTGGCCTGCGATTCGATTTATCGAACAGTTATGGCGAACGAGGAAAATCCGACGGCGATAAAATGATCGGCAACGGGAGTGTTTTATAGACGAGAGAGGGACGTCGTAATGTTGGTCTCGGCCTCTCGATGCGCTCCGATTATCAATTTCGCACGTTGCAAAGCGGAATCACGATTCATTTCTTATCCATCTGATGATATTTTCTTATCAGTTCATTAAATAAACAATCACTAAATTTTAGATAAATGTTCATGATCAAAAGGATCATCTTTTGTAAAATATATAACCTACATTTCTTTGAGCTTTTTGAATCCACACGACTTCTAATCCAAGTTCGCAAAGATTCAAAAATAGCAGAAGAATAATTACTATAGAGATAAATTTAAATTAAGTCATTAAAAGATAAACTTATCCTTTCATAGAACTCAAGACAAGATTTTGATTAAAGATACCGAAAGGATCGTAAAAAGGTAATTACTGCGGAGTCTTAAAGATCAACAGCTGTGCCTTTAATAACATTGAACGTAGTTAACAAGCCACATGCGAGAATACATTTTCTCCGTGCTTTAAAGCCTTGCAAAACTGTTAATTCTCGAGAGGGTTATTGCTTATAATTACGCCTCGCCGTTAGACATTATCCAACGCAGCACTCGCTCTTTCTACCCCCTTCCGGAGAAGTCGCTGAGCCTTAACGAAGGATAATGTCAGCCGGCGCTGGGCAGGCACAGCTCCTGAACATTAGCAATTATCCGTGGGTCTACGCAAACCCATCATTTACCTGTACGCCGTGTTAACCCTTTCAAGACGATCATTTTCACGATTTAACTCCGTAGATAGCGGTTTGTCTCTTTGAACAAGTCTGTAATTAATTGCGATAAATTTTCGTCGAGTTCCAGTAATTTGTGCATGTAATGAGACATTACAACTATCACCGTATCGCGTATAAATATAGAAGAGTATATAATTCATTTAATAATTTATAACTAATTAATAGAAAATTGCATGTTATAATCACTTTATATAGATAATCAAGTACTAATTCATTAAATAATTAAAATGCGATGTAATTCAAGGAGCACTAAATGTTCTTTAGGCCACATTTCTTAGAATTTTTAAAGAGTTAAGATCGTGTTCGACTAATAGCATATTATGCCAGAGTTGAATAGAACGATAAATGTGTACAAATCGTAAAATGCAGAAGGCATAAACTCGCTGGGTCGATCATGCCGATGGCCTACTTTAATAATCGCCACGCTGCTCGCTGAACACGCGAAGCCGTAATTCGATCTCTCATCGTACTCTTCGAACAACCAGGAGGTCTAAAGTAATTATTAGATTTTCAAAGGTACTACCGGTTATATTAGAAGCCCGGTCAAGTCGCGCGGTAATTAATTTATGTCGGAGAAATAAATCTTATACGCCACGTCTGAAATGTAATCTTTTGAGGTTTCATATAACTTGACTTATGAAAAATGATCTCTTTTATATTTTATCATTAGCTTTAATGAAAAATTTAATTTTTAAATTAATATATTTATATATGTATAACGATTGCAAAATTTATGCAAAATATGCATTATTGGTATTCCTCGCCAAGTTATTCTCGTCCAGATTTTCAAAAGCGTCCAATCATTCGGGAAAGATTAAGAAACCGTAGGAAATCGAAATGCGTTGTCCGTCTGAAAAATTTGGCAACGACCATCGCGTATTCTCCGCGCTTGGCAATTAATCAAGCTCGCAAATCAAACAGCCTAATGAACCGGGTGCGTGCGTGATCGAACTGCCAGACTGCCACTCCTCTCTTCATCTGGATGGTCAACGAAAAAAAGTTAAAAACAAGACATTTCGGCCTCCTGCGATACACAATTCCGCTAATGCATCGCAAAACCGTAGAAAGAAAAATTATGCAGCATTATATTCTTATAAATTATAAGCAGAAAAATAAAAAAAATTCATGTCTTTCACTATTATCGAATATTTAATCATTTAATACGTGCTCAATTATGTGGAACGTTTCAGATATGTTAAAGTGATCCTGTTCTTGTTTCCTTTTGTATTCGAACATTGTATTAGAAAGCGATTCTCTTAGAATATTTTCTGAATTTATTTCCCAACATGTAAATCTGTTGTACTCGACAAATGGATATATTTAGTAAATTAAAAATTTGTAATATTTCCCATGATGCATAATCGAAAAAGTGCTTTATGTAAATATATAGACCTTCGACATTGCCTCCTTATCCGCTCAAGCATTGCTCGACGCATCTAAATGTATTTGAATTAATTGTCCGCAGTATCGATCGCGAGGACTCGCTCGAAATCTTGTTATACCCGAATGATTGGCCTGTCACTTCAGACTGATGCAAGCGAGTTGATCGATCCTTTCACTCACGAAGCCGGTACTTATCCTCCGCGAGAGGACTCATCAAGGAGCATCTCGACCGCAACCGCACATGCGATCGATAAGCCATTGCGTATGCACCCACGCACGTACACGTCGTTCATCACGTTCTGACAGATGTAGGCTCGCGGTTATTAATTTCGGTCGAAGATAACCGCCGATTTTGGGCATGTGTGCGCACGCAGGAAAACGCAACGGCAACATTCACGGCCGCAGATCTTTCCCAGGCTCGCCGTCGACGCGTAAAATTAGACTCACGGTTTCGCGCAAAAATCTAAATTTTGCCAATAACAGATCAGCATTGATAATATTTTAACGTGCGAAACTATCTATTGCTCTCTTATTGCTTGATACGCAAAACTTATAATTGAAATATTAAAAGATCGCATTAGGATGTTCTCTATTCATAATATTCACACGCTCTCATTACACCTGCGTTACGAGCGTTCGCAGTTTTACGAAAGAAGGCCCCGAGAGATTCCCCTCGAAGGTTTTCTCCGAGAGCAGTCCTGCACGAGGAGTAACTTCAAACGAGGATTGACTCACAGAATGTTTGGAGACTTACCCGGCAAGAGGACGACGGCCGCGACGTGGGTCAGAAATCCCTGGAACAAAGAAAACGAAATTAGAGAAGTTTTTAAAGCGTACACTGCCGCGCTAGTCACAATATTGCGGTACTCCATTGCTTTAATCCTTAAATGCGCAAGTTTCTTTGCCACTGATTTAAACCGTCTCGAAGTTACGTGCGCGAGTTTTATAACGCGGGGAGAGCGTCAGGGAGAAAGAAATCTCGCGTGTTTGAGAGATAAATTGTCTACGGCCGTTAGGATATAATTGGTAGGGCTTATTTCCGAAGCGTTTTAAAGTCGTATTTTTTTAAAGATGGAAATTAAGCGGTACGGATCTTTGGGAAGCTCATAATGAGATCACAAGAAAGTAATTTTTACTTCCTTGAAATTACAGACTGGAGATGGCTCGGAGATAAGCTCTTCAATTACGTGTACAATTTGTCTTATACTTCGTTTTATAATTAGGTATTAAAAAGATCGAAAGTTCGATCTCTTTTTACTTAATTTCTGAGGTAAAAAGATTTAAAAGAGCAAAGTCACTTTTAATAAAGTATTTATGAACGTATATCCTTCCGAATAATCCAGATTAAAATGTTATTCGAACCGAAATAAAAAATTGAACATAAAATTAAGTTTTTATTATCTCATTATCTATGCGTTCACGTCAAGGAGAAACATAAATTAAATAAATTAATGAAATATATGAATATTATATAATTAAAATTTCAAATTATATTTATATAATTTGAAATTTAAATTATGTACAAGATTCGTACAAATACAAAGTAATAAGTTTGAAGCACGTCTCATATTAATGTCTAAACCGTTTCGCGGACCATTCGTTTCTAAAATCGTGCCGCACATATTACCCGCGTGTATCCCGTTTGTCCCGAACACGCTTTCCTTTGACTACACCCGCATTAATTAAGTTCGCTCGGTGTTGCAGCTGATGTCATTGCTACAGTCGGCAGCAGAAAGGCCGCGCCGGTTCAACACGGTATCCTCGCTCCTACTAACTACGCGGAAATGTTTCGTCGACTTCGCGCCCCGCGTGAATTCTCCACGAACTTTCCTCGACTTTGATGTGCAGCCACTCACATTATATGCCGTCGCCCCGACCCGATTCATAATGAATCCCTAACGAACCCCAGTGAATTAGGAACGCAGATTTCGCCCGCGAAGACGTTCGCGCAACTTACTCCCCTCGAGGGGAATTAACTGAATTTATACGTTATTATACAAACGTATCCGCGTTGCCATGAAATTATTTGGGCTGCCCAAATTTATTCGCGTTACGTGAATTTACTCGTATTTTCTTGAAAAGTGACTTCAAACGTTTGCGCTTCGCTCGAGCGCGTTGCCGAGGTTGCCTGTGAAAACCAGCGGGAAAACGACGTACTGTATATTCCGCGGAAACTTTGAAAATGGTCCACGCACTTTTCTCGAGCAGTTTTTAAACGACTATCGAAAGTCCAAACGCCATTTTCCGGCGAAACTTCTCGACGGAATTTCCTCTTCAGTAGCCTCGCGGAAAAATCTCATTTGAGTCGAGTGCTTCTGTCTCTAAAAAAATTTACTATTCTACCAACAAGTCCTGGAAAGTTTTACCATTTTTTGTGTGTGGCCATGTCCCGAATTCGTTTTAAAAAAAGTGCATAAAATCGCAATAAAAAAGGTTTATACATTTAATTTCCTCGATGAAATAATAGATCATTAAAAATATACGTTTCAATCTAATTAAATTCAATACAATTATATGTAGAATACAATTGTAGATGTTACTAATCTGTTTATATGCAAAGAGATTTCAATAAAAAGTCGATAAACATATTTATATATGCGCGTAATATTAGTTAATCAATTCCATAAAATTTTATGATAAAAAGGTACTTCATTTGAGAGCTTTATCTGCTTTCTCGCAAATCACCAAAGGCCATTGGCAAATGCACGGCTTTGCATTTGCGAGAAGGTTTTGCCGGTTTTATTGCGATAAGATGCAAATGCCGGTGGCTATTCATAAGTCATCCCGTACGCATTAGGAAATCGAAGTGCGGCGATGCTGACGGCGCCATTCGGTGACGCAATGCCGGTCATTAGCGTATGCATCGCGCGCTGTATCGCGAGCGGCACGATATAGAGTCGCCGATGTATGTAAAAGCCGACACATTAAAGCCGGCGAAAAGCGCAAGCTTGTCAACACGTGTGGTTACTACATGCCTCGCGTCGTAACATAAATATCCGACCACGTGGTGGCCAAATTTCTCTCTCTCTCTCTCTCTCTCTCTCTCTCTCTCTCTCTCTCTCGCGTCTTTTCGCAGCGATAACGGTCAGAAATTAATAGCGGCGAGAACACAGCGTCACGAAATATTCACGAATAAGCTCGGTTCACTGCGAAAATTGATTTCTGCATTATGATGCTCCGTTCCTAGAATAATCTATTTTATTACTAAAAACGAATAAAATAAAATTTTGACCGTATCCTGAAAAATTTTACATTTAAAAACCTTAATGATAGTCGGATGCGACACTTGCAGATAATGGATCGAGTCGTGTCAGTATAAAGAAAAGTACAAGAAGTAGAATAGAATTCGTATAGATTCTATTGATACTGACAGAACGCGGAATTTTATAAGGTTCCTTAGGTGTCTCTTTTGCAGATCCCATCATCCATATAGAGATCTACAACCACATTTTCCGTTGACGAGTCTCATATTTCTCAACAACTATACGTACAGCATTTGTATTCTCTGAATCTTTCTTCTTTAGAGTTTCCAAAGTAATGTGTAATCGATTGTATTCTTCAGAGTATCGAATAATCTTCCTGAACAAATCTCTTTACTTGGATTGTAATTTAATAAATAACTTCCTATACGTTCCACGTTTGACCTCACTGCAAAACTTTCTACATAATAATTTCATAAATCCCATAGCAATATTCCCCTCTACATCGCGACTTTTCTCATCGAGAAAATCTTGCGGCTAGCTGAATATTCCTCGCAGATATTGTTCTTTCGTCGAAGATGCCTTGTCGAACTCTTTAACGCGTCTTCCTGCGACGACTAAGACGTTCCGGCACTTCGGAAATCGTGTAAAAGTCGAACGCCAAGGTGGAAAAACGAAATAGTTTTCCTTCGTCTGCACGAAAACAAGATAATATCCTTCTCGCGCGGCGAGGAAAGACACCGAACTTCTCGCATTATCGACACGCGGCGTCACAGCCGATAGTCTCTTTCACCCGTCGCGATTCGCTTTTCCGGGGGAAATGGGATGCGTCCTGAGGTATAAAGGAAAAGAAAAACTTTCTCGTTCCTAATCTGAATTTGGCACTCGCCAATTTAACTTCGTTCGACCGGCGGATTACCGGGCCGAGTCTGCAACACGGGACGGAAACGGCTCTCCGAGCCTTTAACCAGCATGCCGTTTTCCCAAGAGTCTTTTTCCGGCAGCAGGTGCGGCTTTTATTTTCCTTCGTGTCTATAGTTAGTCAAGGAGCTTTAGATATACTTATTCTCATTAATCCCTTGGTTGTATTTACTCGATGTATTTATTCGATGTATATACATTTTAATAAAATCGAAGAATTCTGTACTAAAAGTAAATGAAATTTAAGATAAATAATCATTTAAAGCTCTTCATTACAGCTATTCGTTTATGATCGTATTTTGTGTTGATACGGAAATAATAAATTCAACAAAAAATATTTTTAATAAATTCTGATCAGCTTCCAAATTCTATCCATATCCATAACTTTTGTACTATAATTTAATTTACTTTTGATGATAAGTTATTATTTCCAATGGTATCTTAACGAACTGTAATTGCAAGAAATTTTTCATAGGATATTCTACGTTTCGCGGAATTTCTTTAACTGTCAATAACCGAGCGACAAGCGCAATATATCTCACGTGTTCCAAGAACGTTAAATCGGTCGTAAAAGCGGCATCAAGATATACTCGACTGTGTGCCTGATACGTACCTGATTACGGATCGAAATTCCAAATCGATCATAAGGTAGAGATAAGATAAAGCGACAGAGTCGGCAGGATGTTGGTACGGTTACTTAATTATATCGATTAAATCGATGAGTAGAGTAGCTTGACGCATCGATAAGCACGCGACATAGACATTGTCATTTTTTTCTTATATCAGGGATTGGTGATCTCCCTCGATCGGGAAGGGACGATAAAGATTTCTTGTTAAACGAGCGAGTCTTCGGCTTTGCCAAGCTTCCGTTGGTTATCCCGGTTGTCCGATAACGCGGCTAATGTGCAGAACGATACGCATTAACGGTGTTATCGGGTAGCCTCGGGGTGCCTCGAAAGTCACGCACTTTCTTGGAGCTATAGAGATAATGGAAGCCAAACTCCAAAGAAGATTATGAACATATTTCAATGCGAAGGTACCGACATTTTAATGTATGGCTATTAATAATTCAAGTGTCAATAATTACAATATTTATTTCGGTGACTTCGAATTTCGATTATATAATGGTTATATTTAAATATTCAAGAGTCCTTTGAATGCTATTTTGATTTGAGATTTAAAACTCTCGAGATATTCAAAGCTAAAAAATGGTGAAAAATGGAGCAAAATCGAGTTTATATTAAAAAAGAAATGTTTACAGATTTTTCGAGAAATTTGTAATACAAACAAATTGTCGATAGAGACTTTCGCACGAACGTTGCATAACGCATATATCACATATATGTCATATTTACAATTGAGATGTCTCCCGTGAGTTTGACAATTTTTTTACAGAGATATATTTTCTGTCGCTTTATTTTATATATACATATATATCACATCGATTTTGCTTGATATCGAACTTGGCTTTATCCGCTGAGTATAAAGACCGGATGCGTCTCGCTCCGCGACAACAGCAAGCGATCTATCAACGTCTCGCCGTCCCGCCAGGGAGTCTCGACGAATTTTCGTTGCGTCGCTCGAGCTTGCCTGGCTGAACTTCAATAATGTGTAAAGGCTCGTAGAGCCACTCAACTTTGCCCTCAAACATACGAATCTGCACAGTTCTCCGA